AAATTTACACTTCAAATTTACATAGATCTCAAAGCATAGGATTAAACATTACTGCAGTAATTATCTATAYAATCTATTAAATCCAAAGGATCTTTATGAATCATCTCCCAACTTTTAATTTTACTTTTATCAACTGATATGTAGAATATTCTATAAATTGTCCAAGATGAATCATTGGATTGAATATATCTTCAAATTCAGTTTTCTGTACTCTAGTAAAAGCTTGTGTTCTGTGTTGCTCATGTACTGGATACTGTTGTGCAGATAATTTACTTGTATATTTATTGATTCCTCTCAACAATAATATGAGATTGATTAGTCATCATGTTTATTTAAATTATGAGACAAAAATTAAGTAACACATTCGTATTTATATACTATTAATTAGAAAACTAAGCTTTGGGCCCAGGAGAGTGGTTCTTAAGTTCARTGGTCTTCACTGAATCCAAATCAAATTGAATTTGAAGCAATTTGCTATTACTCGTCATTTCATAGTCTCAAACCCAGTGTTTGTTTTCAACTGTGATAACTGRGATACGGCCACCGCAGATGTCTTAGGATAACTGGGGCAGTGGGAGCATGCACAATGGGCAGCGGCAGTTCTGAAGGCAAGAGGCAGCAACTGTTTACTGACCACCCGCCATTACTATACAGCCAGCCCTGATCTGATCCCAACTTCCCTGAACCTCATTTGTTCCACCTGAAAAATGAAAATATCAATGAGAACAACCCTCAAGGTTTTGTGTTGAGATTAAATAATTCTTTTATTGGGGGAGGATATCAGGGATTGAACTCAGAGGTACTCAACCACTGAGCCACATCCCCAGCCTATTTTGTATTTTATTTACAGACAGGGTYTCACTGAGTTGCTTAGCCCCTCGTCATTGCCGAGTCTGGCTTTGAACTTCTGCCTCAGCCTCCACAGCCACTGGAGTGGTACAGGCATGCACCATTGCGCCGGCCAGAATAGTCCTTTTCTAAACTATGAATATAATTCTGTGTGTTTGGTACAGCCYGATGAGAGCTAACTATATTATTAGGGTGGAATCAGGGTCTGTATGCTGGTTTGATAGGCAAGGACAGCAGCATGCAGGTTACTTGGAAGTCTTGTAGCCTCCCCTTCAATTGTCCTCTTCCCTCTCAGCAGGGCCACTTTAATTTGCTCTGCCATTTCTCCATGCATGTGACTGGATGCTCTGTTGAGTCCACAAGTCTATTTTTYTTCCCAGAAATCCATATTTTAGCTTAGTTTGAAATAGTCTTGTTAAACCATTTTCCTCTTACAATTACCATCCATTAGTTAAATACATGTACTTATGATTTAAAATGCATAGTTTGTGGTTCACCCTTAGCTTACAGATCTGATTTGCTGGGAAGCACCATTTGTAAAATTATTTGATTAAGTTCTTGTGTGGGAACAGTGTGTCAACTTAGAAAAGGTATCTATCCTCTGCTGACTACTATTCCTGAGTGTCTTTCCACACCACACTTTATAATCTCCGTCCCTGAAAGCATTATTTTCCAATCTTAACACACATAACCACTGTGTTCTAGAACTAATGTTAAGAGCTTTTCACATGTGTGAATGTGTGTGTGAATGTATGTGATAAGTATTATTATTAACTATTGGAATTCAAGATTTAAAAGGTCAGTGTTATGGTACACAATTGCACAGCTAGTATGAAAAATGTTCCAGACTGAAGACTGAGAGACAGTTTCAACCTGATCAAAATCTAGGCTCCTAGGCACTGCAATATCAGCATGTTTAGATGTACTAGTAATAAAAAGGATGAATTATGGGGGGAGGAGTTAAATTACAGTTCAGATAGTGCTAATCCAATTACTTCTCTCTGAGGCTTAAAGAACAGTCAGTGTACATTTGTTATTTATGTCCATTTATCTTTGATGGAAGGCTAATGGATACCAAATAAAATAAAACTAAATTTAATCAGAGCATCATTTATCTAATGTTTTGGTTCAACTTCTTGAGGAAAGCAGTGTGATATTTCATAAATATCACTCCCCTCTCTACTAATGGAGATTTGGACATGTACARCTGTCCCTCTGCTTTTGTATGAATTAAGCTTTCCACTAAACATACCGACTCAGCTATTTATGTGCCAATTATACTTCAATGAAGTGGTTTTTTAGAACTTTTCACCAAACATGTATATGGAATATAGAAGCTTACCTCACTGCTGGAAAATAAATAATAGTCAATCCTAAGTAGAGAGTTTGAGATCAGAAATTCCTCCACGGAATAATGCACACATATTGTTAGAGAAGTTTCTCCCACAGATGGATGTCTTTAAGATAAAGAAAGATGCAGGGGGAAACACCAACATAGGTCCAGGGTCCTGCATTCGAGTCTTGATCTATCATTCATTCTCACTGTGCCCAGAGAGGTGTATCGCTCCTTCTTTGGAAAATAAACATAAGATTACCACTCGTACATAGAATAAAGTCTAGAAAAAGAAAATGGGGGAAGGTTTGTRAAACAACTTGCTAAGGCGTTATCATTTTAAATTAACTCAATATAATTTTTATCTTGAAGCCATGCTTGCAGACCCAGCAAAGCCTTAGTCTAGAGAAGGCCTACAGGTTCTGACAACTCTTAGCATTCAGATAAATAAAGAGGCCCATAACATAACTCTTCTCCCTTCACATGATGTCATATGGGGTCCTGTTGGGATCTCACAGGTTGATGCAAGGGAGTCAGGAGGGAATTATAGAAACATGAAGCTCTCAGGAGACATCCTACAGGAAGGCACCTACTGCTCCCCTCCCCATTTTCCCATGAAGCAATTAGACAAAGCTGGGTAGGTCAAGTATGCACACATGTTTTTTGTATTGYTTGTTGTTACTTTCATATTTTATGATTATTGCATGATTTACAAACAATAAGACCCCCAGTGTAATAATAATTAACTATTAGAATATCATAAATATGTGATTATATGTTAATGTGATATTAGAAATAATAATTAGAATAAAAATTCTAAGAGTTTGATCAAATGTGTATAATGAGATCACCACTACCACAACCAAGATATTATAGGACACTTTCCTCATCTAAGCAAAACCCCAAGAGTCTTTTTAATGAACCTCTTCCACATTCTTCTCCTGGAAACCACTCAACTTTTTCTTTTTCTTTCTTTTTCTTTTTTTTTTTTTTTTTTGTCCATATAATTTGACCTTTGGAAGAAACCTAGCCTACGTGTTCTTGCTTTTTTCACTTAGAATGCATTTAAGATCATCAATATTATTACCTTTGTCAATAGTGGAATCTCTTACTGCAGGATAGCATTTCATTTTAAGGATGTTACAGAGTGTTTATCCATTCTTCATTTGAGGTACATTATGTCAGTTCCACTGTTTGGAGATTATAAATAAAGTWTCTGCAGCTTTATGCATGTCTAAAGTTTTGAAATTGACACATAATTGTATATATGTGTGGGTTCAATGTGATAATTTGATAACTGTATACAATATGTAATGAGCAAATSAAGGTAGTTAGCTTTTCCATTTTTWAAAAATACTTTTCATTTCTCTGTGTTTTGGGAAACCTTAGAACCTCCCGTCCAATGAGCATAGGTATTATTTTACTGGRGTAAATCGATGTGAGAACAATTGCATTTAGTTGTAGAGCAAATGCAAATTTAATTGAAAAGAAACTGCCCAAATCATTTTTCTAAAGATGCTGTATCACTTTGTTTTCACTTGCAGAGCATTGCCAATTCCTTCACATCTCCATCAGCATTTGGTATTTTAAGATTATTTTAAATTTAATTTAGTTTTTATTTTTACTTCTTTTGCAGAAATGTATCAAGAAATATCCTCAGCAAAAATTATTTTCAGAATCCTTGTTTGTCTTATTACTAGATTTGGGGCCTGGGATTTTCTTTTTCCAATACCAGGAATAGAT